TTGGCCTTACTCCTGTTTTCTTGACCAGTGATTACTTCAGACAACTAGCTGGCCGAACTGGCCTACTTTTTTTTCTTTCCTGGTTTTCTGTTCTTCTTTTCCACAAAGGTAATACCAAGATCTGTCTCTGTTTTTGTCCTCACGCTGTCCCTTTCTCCACCCCCGCAAAGACCCTAACTCTAGCCCTGACATGGAGTGTATCAGAGTGTTGCAGACTAAGGCAGAAATGACCTTATTTTCCATTTTCTTTTATGTCTGATGCCCTGTATGGTGGCTTTAGATTTTTGTATCATCTTCATTTGTGTTATTCATATGCTCCCTGGGCCCTGAGGGTTTATTTTAGCTGGCTCACTTGGTTTCTAACCCACAACTTGACTATACTGCAGGTAAGAGCCTTAAAGGCAAACTCATGTTTTTACCCGCTCCCCTGAACAGGGTAAGCATATCACAGTGTCTGCTGCATTGAATTCATTATTGCCCATTTTTTCATGGTCCCATCAGTTCCTAGGCCTAGGATCTACAATTCTAATGGTTGCCCATGTTTGCGAACTGGGCTCTAACCTAGGTCCCAAGGGAGGATTCTACATTTCTAGGGCAGGAGTATTAAATGAGAGACCAAAGAGAAATGATGAGAAAGAGATGAGCAGAGGGAGGGAAGGTACGATGAGTACTTTTAAAAGTCTTTTACCAGGTGTACCTTCTCTGGGTTTCACTGACTTCCTCTGTCTCTCTTTATAATACTGATGGACTTACTTTGTGTCCAATCATATCAAATTAGATTTAAGGAGACCTACTGAGTGACAAGGAATTTAAAAAAGCAAAGATGGATTCTTGGTTTGGTTTCCCTAGGCATAAAATGTTGTTATTCACATCAATATCAGAGAGGCAGCACGTTTTAAAGAGAGGAAGAGCACAGGCCTCAGGGTTTAATATTTTATCTTTACCCCCTCTACCTCTGTGACATTATGCAAGTCACTCTCTCAGGCTTACCTCAATTTCCTCATCAGAGACTGAGGTTGGGGTGTTGTGGGGGGCCATACGAATAGCACATACTTTGCTGGGTTGCTGAGAGTATTAATGCAACTTGTGTAAAATGCAGGAGGTGCTCGAAACATTTACTTTGCTTCTTTATGGCAAACTTTCCAAATGTGTGGGCCTAGGCTGTCTGAGGTCCGTCCCTGGCTAATACATGTCAACCCAAGTATGCAGCACTGCTGCTCAGCTCCACAGCCAAAAATGCAGAATCTTTTTGACTCAGAATTCTAAAAGTGCAGAAATCAAGGCTCCAGATTTGGGGGCATAAAAGTATTTAACAGATCCTGCTGGTAAAAACTGAAAATGTTTAATACTAGCAAAGGGATATGTAGAACTGTGGTGATTAGCTGCATTAACTGAAGGAAAAAAAATACTTTTGCCTAGAAAGTTCAGATAATATGCAAAAGTTATTTTTCTGCTTACGTAGAAGGTAAAGTGCCTCAACTGCCAATTTTACCTTACCTATGTAAACAACCTTAATTAATGAAAGAGCAGAGATCACCTTTTTATAACAACAGCAAAAAAAAAAAAAACCAAAATAGGAAACAAAACAACTCGAAACTCAAACTTTACTTCAAATGGTATATACATGTTTCCTTCTGAAACACCAAAGGGTAAGTTAAGTGCCCAAGAATCAGAATAAATCTTTCCTCATGATTGTTGGCCAAACGCTTCCTCAAATACAAGAGAACTTTTTTGGACTCCAATGTGATTTCTCAGGAATGATAAGTAACCTAGTAATAATCTTAAGTCCTCAACATGCAGAATTTTGGCAATGAAAACAGACGGTTAATTCTATTTAAAAGACATGGTAGTTCTGCCAGTGTTGTTCCAAATGAGGTAATGTCCATGGCTCTTATCTAGCCTTTATTGAGATTTCATGTCATTTACCACTGGCTCTTGTGAATCTGCTATACAATCTCACCTTTTCTGATGTGTGTTACTTCCAACCATTTCAACATGGCAATTATGAACCTCTGGTTTTTAAAATTGAGAAATGAATCCCACATGTTCTTCTTTTTTTTTTTAATGTCCTATAATTTGAGTCTTTCTTCCATAGTCCCAGAAAATTCAGAGATCAGCATATTTCTTTTTCAAGGTATACTATAGAAATACTTCTGAGGTTTGATATATTTCTATAAACATTTTTCAAAGAAGCCAAAATGTATAATTCAAGAAAATGTTCTGTGAAAGAATTTGTTTTCTGATTACAATATGATTTTCTGCTTAAAAAAAAAAAACACAACAATTTTATATTTACTTAGCTGGCTCTGAAAGTCCCATGGAGATTATCATTCCTTTCAAGCCCTAGCATCTCTTTTCCAGGTGCAGGCCATTTACTGATTTCAAAGGTAGCTTTATGTGGGGAAGGAATCTATAACTTGTAGAAAGAAAAAAGATCGTCTCCATCTTAACCCCTTATGTTTTCCCCATAAAGAACAACAGATTGAAACAGAACTATTACAACACAGATGAGACACCCGAAAGGACATGACGGAAGCATTTTCACATGCCTTCGACTTCCTTTTTCAACCAGGGTATAAACCAATCTTGGTAAAGACAGCAATCTGTTTGACAAACATGAACATGATACCCAACACCCATACTGCTGTGTTTGTTTGTTTTTCAACGAGTCCTTCATCTCTCCAATACTCAGGAACATGAGCAACAGCCACAACCACCCCAGAGTTATAGGGTTTTTACCTTCCCATGTTTCACATTTTATGTAGCAGAAAAAGTAAATTTGAGAATATCAAAGGCAGCCCAGAGACAGAGTAAATGACCATGTTTTGTTGCTGGGCAGACTGGTGAAACATGAGCCAGACCTGTTAGTGGTATGTGTGGGAAACTCAGCTGGGAGGCCCATTTATACAACTGGTAAAAGAGCCAAAGAAGCAATTCCAACCTTACCACTTCTGACAAAGTTCAGCCAAGAGTGGATTTTCAATAAAGAAAATCCAATGGCTGATCCCTCCTTGACATTCTAAGATTTCCTTCTAACCTAGCTGCATAATCAATGACTCTTTGAAAAGCTTATTCTGCATTACTCATTATTGCCAGCCTCTTTCCTTCAAAGTAGCAGTATGACAGAATCAAGAGACTTAACTTGCACTGGCCTTAGGGTCCCATCCTTAAAAACAAGATAATAACCTCTGCTCCTCTCTTCCTCACAGGGCTATAGGGAGATGAGTACTTAAGAGTTTGTACTGACGAAAGCATCAAAGATCCATAAAGCACACAACACAGACCAGAGGAACTGGTCTGGGAGCCTCAGGGGTTGCACAATCTTTTTAGGAGGTCTGCAAGATTAATCTATTTTCAAAATGATACTAAGGCATTACTTCCTCTTTTATTCTCATTCTCTCAGTGTACAGTGGAGTTTGCCACAGGTTACAAGGTATGTGATGATGCCATCACTCTAATGACTAATAGAATGTGTGCTTGTGACAGCTTGTGTTTTAAGATTTTCTATTTTAGTTTCTAATTAAATATTAGATAGGCAAAAGCTCTTTGGGATCCTCAACAACCTTTGAGAGGGTCAAAAGGTCCTGAGACCAGTTTGAGATCAGCCTAGAACTTCGGTCCCACCCAAATTTGCAGTTCCCAGATGAGCTGACTTCTCACCTACCCTGAGCCTTTCTGAAAGTGTTCCATCTACATGGTAAATGCTTTTCAAACTCCCTTCATCTGGCTAACTTCTTCTGCTCTCTGTTTCAATGTCAATCTCTCCCTGACTTCCCCAAGGCCAGTCAGGTGGCCCTGCTATGTGCTCCCTTAGCATCTAGCACACTACATTGTGATTGCCCATTTCTTGGTCTATTTTGTCCTCAACTCGAGAACTGACTTGTCACTGTTTTCACTATGACACAGTAGTATGGTAGGAGGCACTCAGTAAATACTTGTTGAATATATAAAACAACGAAGGAAGGAAGGCAAGAAGATAGAAAATTAAGTTACTAAAAATATATTAGTTTTCACTATGGTACAGGCTCAAGAAAACTATGTTAATAATAACAATAATAACTATATCTTTATATCTTATTATGTATGAGGTACTACTCCAAGCACTTTATATGCATTAATTCATTTAATCTTCACAAAATCCCTATGAGGTACGCACTAATATTATCCTCATTTCAAAAATGAAGACATAGATGTACAGGTAGTGAGTGGTAGATATGAGAGTGACACCAACAGTCCAGCTCCAGAGTCCCATGCCATTAACTACTCTACACTTGCCTTACGTGTCAGCAGTGTAGACCTCAAGCTTATAACATATATTGGGGTCTCGAGGCCACCTCTCATCTCTGTTCACTAATCAGAAATATGACCTGATATTTCCAGCCCCCGCCCCATGGTGAATGACCACAGTAGGCTATGTGAACATCAACATCTTCTCACCAATACCACCTGTCCCCAAGTTTATAGTTAGGGTTTAAAAAGAGTTTCAATAAAATGTCTATTTATTAAAAATAAAAAGACTACTCCGTAGCACAGAGAAATTTGAAAGTAGAATCTGGTATTTCCATGTACTATGGAATCATGTTGCAGGGCAAATGCTCCCTGGCATGTATAACTCTCCTCGTGCTTCTTGGGTTAACCTCTCTTTCAAGGAATTCTCATAATTTTACTCTGAAAAGGGAATGGCTTAGAATGTTTTGCAGGCATACTTGATGGAAAAGACAAAATTTTACCTGGTGCAGAGAGGTAAGTACAAACGGGAAACATGCTGAAGAAAATAGGATTTACTGCAATAGATGATCTGGGAGAATCATGGTTGACATTGTATTCATGATTAGAATGAAAAAAATACACCTAGGAAATACCTGTTCTTTCAGCAATAGAATAAAGTTCTATGGAAAATTAAAAGCTTGTGCATCAAATCTTCACCTACTAAAAGCACATGAGAAAACAAAGTTCATCTTGTGGTGTTTGACAAAGTCACACACAGTAACTTTACTTACCTGGAGAAGTGTCCCATGAATATGGTTTTGCCGGAAACACTGGTCAGTGCAGTTGGGGAGTTTGGCCAACAGAGCTCGGATGGTATCAGGAATTTCGTCTATCATAACAAATGGGACCAGGGCACGAGCTGCCATTTCACGGGAGCGGTAGACAGGTGAGTGACCACATCTGGAAAGAAATAAAATCACAAGACCAGTAAATACTCACTTCCACATCTGTGTCTTTTGTGTATGCTGAGGCTCTATCTAGCTCTGGTTGGGATATCCAAGCTGAGAAGGTAGGGGGAGTTGCTCTTTATTCCCAGTGATGTTTTTACTACTTCCCTTATTCCAAATGATTGTGCGTGTGAATTCGTGACTTTACTTTTCTTATAAATATCATTAACATCTATGATTCTATCACAGGAATAAACACAAATAGGCTTTGCAAATAAGACAACAGATAATCGAACAACCATTTGTTAGGCACTCCTAATAAACAAAAGCATCATAACAAGTGCCATGAGAAATCAGACAGTCACTGTTGTCTTTGTGGAGCCTATACTCTCATTGGCAAGATGAGATGAGAAGTATATTTGAAAAAATGACCAAAAGCACAAGACAGTACTGGAAAAATAAGAAGCAAGTGATCTTGACATTACGGCTACAGGAGGATAAGACTGTGGATTGTAGATCTGAGACAGACGGATCTCAGGGAAGCAAACATGATCAAGTAACACCAAAGAAAACAAGGCAGTTGTTTCAAC